TGAACTCCGCCTCGGGGTACAGTCATTTTTCCGCCCTGACACGTGGTCCGTGGCCATTTTTCTGCCCCTGACACATGGTCCGTGGCCATTTTTCTGCCCCTGACACAGGGTCCGTGGCCATTTTCCTGCCGCACCGCCCGGCCCTTTTCCCGCTGCGCAGCGCCCGGCCGTTTTCCTGCCCCTGACGCGTGATCCGCGGATGCCAGAACGGATTAACGGTAATTACATTGAACCTTATGGGAAAATTTGCTTCGGGGTGCGACCAAATTCGGAGGGTGGAGGGAATTAACCGGATTTACATTGAACCCTATGGGGAAAGTTGCGTTGGGTTACGACCAGCTCTGGCTGCAAAAATTTACCTCGATGTGTGAACTCCGCCTCGGGGTACAGTCATTTTTCCGCCCTGACACGTGGTCCGTGGCCATTTTTCTGCCCCTGACACATGGTCCGTGGCCATTTTTCCACCCCTGACACGTGGTCCGTGGCCATTTTCCTGCCGCACCGCCCGGCCCTTTTCCCGCTGCGCAGCGCCCGGCCGTTTTCCTGCCCCTGACGCGTGATCCGCGGATGCCAGAACGGATTAACGGTAATTACATTGAACCTTATGGGAAAATTTGCTTCGGGGTGCGACCAAATTCGGAGGGTGGAGCGGATTAACCGGATTTACATTGAACCCTATGGGGAAAATTGCGTTGGGTTACGACCAACTCGGGATACGCCCAGAGTCACGGAACGGATTAAGTTCGTATCCCGAGGTACCACTGTAATCTGCTTCCTCCAGGACCCTCTGGAATTGTTAAACCACTACCTTTTCCACAACCTTTCCCAAAAAGGGATGGTTGGAAACCAGTTGAAAATTATTCAACATTCCAGCAGACCACTGCCTCCTTTAAGACAGATGGGACAATCCCATCACTCAAGGACAACCCAGTGGTTGCTCACCTCCCAGGAGCCTTTATCCAACCAGGAGGGACATGGATTTAATACACAGATGGAAGCACTAACATTCCCAAGGACTTCACCCATTTCCTTGAGATACACAGGCTCAAACTCCTCCTAGATAAAAGGGCAATATCCCTCGCAAGTCAACTCTCTAGGACTCCCTGCCAGAATCCAATTCTAAATAAATCTGAGCAATAAATCTTCCTATTCTGTGGCTCCTATGAGAGATCAGGTTATCTTAAAAATATTTACATTTTGCCACCCTTATCACCACTGTGTGGACTTTAGCGTGGGCTCATTACAAGTGTTTGCTTGAATTCATCCTTCATCATTCTCCAGCAGCACTCTAGGCATCTCTTCTGATGCTTCATTTTCCAGAGCACTTTAGAAAACCAAGGAACCCATTAGGCTATGTGTTTCCGAATTTATTTTCTGGTAGAACCTGTACCCCAGTCTAAAAATAACCTTACATGGAAAAAAATATCACAGATTATTGGTTTTATCATTAAAATTTCAACTACCATTTAGCAATTCAGGAAATCACATCTATCATTACCTTTCATTCTGTACTCATGAAGATATTGCAGAAAGTAGCCTTTGTCAATTGTCATGTATATGATAATCAAGGATGGGAGTTCCACTTCTACTATAAGCAATAGTAGAGTAGGTACTTCCCAGAAAGTGCTCAGGACTGAGGTTGCATAAGGGAGCAGCTGGGACAAGTGTGAAACTGGTGACTGGCCAAAACGTTATCTCCTGCTTCTAAAACTACCACCTATGCTAGGTCAAAGTATGTTAGGTCCTCTTTGGTCCCAGGGGCTACTTAGCATCAATGCTGAGTTCCATCACTTGCCCCATCTCCATCTACAAAAGAAAGGCTCCCTCTCTGAACAAACCTAGCCATACTGACTCAGGTAATTACCTCACAGTGCAAGAAAACTGCATAGTTACAGTCTGAAAGGGTTGGCTGCAGTAGGCTTACAATAAGACAGTGAAAAAACAGAGAAATCTAACCATTGATCAAGTACTCTAAATATGTCATTTCCATCCTGCAACTTACCATTCTCCTTGTATCCCATGCCAAGAATAACCTCTGGTGCTCTATAATATCGTGTTACTACGTATGGGGTCATCATGAAATTAGTACATGCTGTTCTTGCAAGTCCAAAGTCAAGGATTTTGAGAGTACAATCTGATTTTACTACTATATTGCTGGGTTTTAAATCCTAGAGAAAAAATACATTCAATTAAATGCTGAAAAAAATAGCATAATCCTTAAAAGTCAGTGCTGGTTATAACATTATTCCAAATTACTGGTCTGACATGCATAAAAAGCAAAACCTTTTGATCAGTTAAGCACACTGAATAGCTGCTGAAAAATGTCATTGATGCTTCCCAGCTGATTGAGAATTCTAGTGAACACTGCCCTCAATTACTGTTATTCAGAAAGTTATTTGGAACTGAAACTTACTTTACTTTAAACTTACTTTATGTTTAAAAAAGAAACAAGGATGAGGAAGCTAAAACCTGAAGAAGGTGTAACATATGAACTTTGAGAAGTGAAACTGAATTAAAAAAGTGAAAATGGAGCTTTGTCCTCGGGATATAAGTTTTAGATGAGAAAGGATTGTTATGGTTTTTTTGTGAAGACTGGACTGTGGAGAATACTTTGGATGAGATAGTGGAGATTAAGAAAGGAAAATCAGAGGTCACACAGTGAACAAAGAAGTGGCTGGGAGAGCACAGCTGAAGAGTCTGACTGACTAAAGCAACTGATGGATCATGAAAGCATGGTGATCAGGCGTGGGGATGGCACAGGTTGTGCCCAGCAGTTTTGTGCCACACAGGTAAAGAGGTAGCAGAAACAGGGTCAGGCACTTCAGAATGAATTCTGCTAGCTGTCTGATCCCTGTGGCTAGGTGCATCCTTCAGAGCTACCATCTGGTCAACTGTGGTGATCTTCCGAAGATGAGGCCGTGGAAATAAAGCTGTTCCCAGAATCACTTCATGGAGAAGATGTTCCACAATTTAAGAACTGGCAGTGGGAGAAATGTGGACAATGCATAAGTAGATGGTTCCAGAGGCTTGGTGGTTTAAAGATGTTGATGATACACATGCACACAGAAAAGACAAAAGAGTTTTGTATGGAGACTGGGAAAGAGTTGGAAATGTGGAACTGGTGGAGAAGGAGGTGTGGCACCTGTCACTGGGTGAGAAGTGGAGAGGAGAATGGAATGGTTTCTATGAGGTGAGAAGTCAGAGGTTGTAGAGATTGTGTACGGGTCCATAGATGAGGATTCATGGTGGCTGCCAAGTGACTAGTAATAAGAGTTACTAACAGCCACTTTAAGGAGGAGATGTGTGTTTATGGAGGATGAGGACTGGAGAATGTATATACTAAGAAGCCCTTCAAGTGTGGGCAAGGGCTGGTGGAAGAAGGTAGAGAGGAAGAAGAGGGTAAGGATCATGGTAGTAATAGAGTTATGTGTGTGTCAAGGAGCAGGCTGCACTCAAGGAAGGGGGATTGAAAATTTGAGACCAATCACTTCTTCTGTCCTCAACTCAAGAGCAGTTTTTGAGAGCTTTGGTTTCCACCTGCTGCTGCTAAATGCCAGGTCTGCCCAATTTTTTCTCAACCATGTTTTGATCATGGATGAGAGGGCAGACCTAGCCTGTCTTACTGCAATCTAGATGAGTCAGTGGGGTGTTCCCTTCTCAGAAAAGAGCCCATCTGGGTTTCAGGGCTTCCTATGGCATGAGGAGTGGCAATTGTCTTTCAGTAGCTCTATATGCAACCAAAGGCATTGTTTTACAAATACACAAACATGAGGGCTTGTTTCTGAGATTGGACTTGAGGGACAAGCTTGGACTGTTGCTGCTGTACCATTCTATCTGCTGCACAGCTGGACCTCAGAGCCAAAGGCAGAGGTCAGAGGGACATGGCATCTCCCAGATTATGAAGGTTCCAACTCATGTCAGAGACACCTTGTTAGATCTTCCTTTTGTCTTAAAGAACACATGATGTGACTTGAAGATGAGGGATGTTAATAACTATCCCTTATCATAGTCATAGCACACTCTGATTTCTATGGAGCTGAGTAGTGCCACCAACTTCCTCAGATAGAATGAAGCCATTTCACTGGTGTGCCTAAGCAGTACAATGGACCAATATGGTTTCCAAAAGATGCTTGGGGAATTCCCTGAAGTGCTGGTGGTCAGTTCTATTGAGACGTTTTATACGACTGTACCTTAGTGCCCTATCCCTGTGTGTCAATCCAGGGGTGCTCTTTGGCAAATTGAGGACAGCAGAGGAGATGCCTAGAGTGACACTGGAGAAAAATGAAGTATAAATATGTCTGAACACATGTAAATGTTCAGGTCTGAGCCTACATCATGGTGGTAAGAATGGTGAATGCCAATACTTCTCTCTATGCTTATTGTATACATGGATTGCCATTCAGCAGCCCTATTAAGGCTGAGTTGGGCCTTTTTAGGGAAAGAAAGGGCAGAATATTAATTATTATGCCTCTGGATGAATTTGTTAGGCTTTTCTCAGAACTGGATGTTGGCTGGGCAAATATTCCGGAGATTATAGAGGTGATATCTTGGGAGATTACTTGGGAAAGGTTAATCCCAAATAATTGGACAGGGTTCTCTGCAACACCAGCTCTGCCACTCATGGATTGGATCTGTCTTTCCTAGTTGATGAAAGCCTCCAGGGACATAACAGGAGGCTGGATAAAAATGATAATTAATGGATCTTTGGGACATAGCGTGGTGCTGCTTGCCTAGAAGGAGGAAACAGTACATCTCTCCTCAAGAAGTAAATAATTGACCCTTATTATATTATATATTTTAATATTCCTACTGTAAGCTGTTGAGAGTCATTTTTGGTTGGAGTGGAATGGAGTAAGTAAATTGTGCAAAACATCTATGCATCTTTCACCCTGATGTCAAAATCCACAGAGGAGCATCAAAGCAACATTATAGCTCTAAAGGGATCTTATCAAATTATACATTTGGACAAAACAGTGGCAGATAAGATTCTCAGTAATGGCGCATCTAATTAATCTATGGAAATTAACAGTGTGTACATTTTGATGTGTTTTGCATGGGAATATAAAATAAACTAGAGAAAGATTTACAGAAGATATATTCACAGCAATATAAAATCACTAATTAAGAAAAACGTAATCAAAGTCAATTAATAGTGTGATTATAACAGCACTACCTACTCTGTGGATGATACCAGCTGAATGAAGATGCTTGATCCCACATAACATCTGGTATAAAAGATAGGACATTCTTTCATGATCCAGCTCCATATGAATAACTTGGCATAAGTTAGCATCCATCAATTCCATAACCAAATACCTGAAACATTTTTTAAAAAAGTAATTAACATCTATTCTATTTTATGCATACACAGTTCAATCCACAGTGTGTTGTCCTCTGTGTAAAATAACTCTAGTGCAATAAGTGGGATAAGTGGGAGCGGGATGGTGGAAGTGCGACCATCCTTGCTCTCCTTGATCTCTCAGCAGCTTTTGATACCATCGACCACGGTATCCTGTCGGGACGACTCAGGGAATTGGGGGTGAGCGGCGCAGTATTGTGCTGGTTCACCTCCTTTCTTCAGGGCGGATCCCAATTGGTGGCAATAGGGAGTGAGAGGTCCCATTCTCGGCCCCTCCTTTGTGGGGTGCCACAGGGTTCGGTTCTCTCTCCGCTCCTTTTCAACAT